AGTCTCACTCCGGAACACTGGCTTCCCTTGGTCTAGAGACTCCTTCGTCCCTTTGATTCCAGAAGTTCTACCCTGATCTGCTCTCTGTGTGGCCAAATGGGAAGAGAGTTGATGGAGACCATGGTGTCAGGTTCAGGACTGACGCCCCCCACCCCGCGTGTCCTGGGCCAGAACTCACGACAGGACATCTCTCCAGCTGCAGGTTTGGGCTGTGTACCTGAGCCAGTGAGCAGGGCCGCAGCCAGACCCTTGTGTTGGCCCCAGGTGGTTCCAGGGGATTCTTAAGCGCAGATCCGGGAGCTTGCTACAGGCCAAGCAGCAAGAGTAAGCAACAGGACACTTGGTTGCATTAAAGATAAACACCAATGAAGAGCATTTAATACAAGCAAATCATTTTTGGGAAAACAATGATCGCTGTAGTCCTGATGGAACAGACATGTTCCTTCAAAACCTCCCCTCCTGACTCCATTGTAAAGGACCAGCATTTGTGCCAATGACGTGGTCAATCAAGTGTGAGGAGAGGCCTCTCAGCTAGTGTTGAAGAAGGACCAGGAGAGGAAGCCAGAGGACAGCATCCTCTATGACAGGTCACATGCAGCCCAGCCACTCCTGCTGGTTCCTCCTGCAGCTTTGCCCACAGCTGTTACACCAGGAAGCACCAGGGAGAGATGATCCTATGTCCAGGATCTGACAGCATCGGCCCCAGAGGTTCCATGGCAAAGCGAGAGGCCCTTAGGCTGGAAGTGCTCTTGAGATAGATGATGTCGTAGGACATCACCTTAAGGTAGGAGCAGCCCAGACACCGCAGATGGGACACCCTGTGACACCAGGGTTGTCATAAATAAACAGAGTAAGAGCCCTCCTCCTCTCCAGCATCAAGAATGTAAGAAGAAAATTAAAAATAGAGACTCACTGACCCCTGGGATGGCTCCTGTGGGTTAAAGACATGGCTCACAGTGGCCCACGCATAACATGTGCCTGGCAGTGCCGCTCATCACAGCTGCAGCCTGGAAGCAGCCTGGATGTTCATCAGAAGATGAGTGGATAAGGAAAACATGGTACATTCACACCATGGAGTACTACTCGTCTGGTAAAAATAAAGTTGAGTCATTTGTGGGAAAATGGATGTACTTTGAGACCATAAGCCTAAGTGAAATAAATCAGATACAGAAGGTGAAAACTTGCATGGTTCTTTTATATAAGAAAACCAAAGTATAAATAATTTTGGAGCAAAATAAAAGATAGATGATGTGAACCAGGGAGAGGAGAGAGAGCAGGAAAGACAAAAATAAAACGGGGATTATGGGGTGATTTCATATATGCCCAGTCCTCATGCTGAGTGTATTTATTACATATTGCAAGCATAATATAACAAGGGGAAGAAGAAAAGAGAACAACATGAGCTGAGTGTGATGGTGCTTGCCTGTGATTCCCAGCACTTTGAGAGGCTGAGGCAGGAGGATTGCCGATTTGAGCCCAGCCTGAACAATTTAGTGACTCAGTAAGATTCTGTCACAAAACTTTAAAAAAAAAGCTAATTCAAAAAAAAAGCTAGGGACATGGCTCCATGAAAAAACCCTGGGTTCATTTCCTAGTATTGCAAAATAATAATAATATTAATAATAATAGGGCCAAGGATAGCTTAGTGGCACAGTGCCTGTCTGGTAAGCACAAGGTCCTGAGTTCAATTCCTGGTACAAAAATATAATAATGGTAATAATAATGATGATAATAACAATAATATTAAAAAACATTTACTGGAAGCTCAATACCTGCTGGGAACTAGGCCTATATGCATACATTTGAAATAATCCACAGTGTAAAACAGTACCGTTATCCGTATTTTACAGGTGATGAACCTGATACCCAGCAGGGAAGGTGAGCTTGCCTCGGGTTACCCGGCTCATGGGTGCTGACACAGTTGGCTTCCAAGGATTCTGTCCTGCTCCTGATGACACTGTATATCTGCAGTGTAAAAGAAAGCAAGACAGGTGAAAAGTAACAGAACAGTGTGCAAACAGTCATGTGTGGTCCAATAAACATCTGCTTGCTAATATTGGCATTTATACTTTATTAATTTTGTAACTGCTCCATAGCTGTAAGGATGAATTTTCCTCAGCTTATCCTTAGTGCTTGCATTTCCTGGGGGTATTTATTTTCACTCTGATTAATACGAGGGAAAATATCTGATAGAGGAGACGGGAAGGAGGAACACTGGGGACTGTTGTAAACTGGTACTCTGAACTTCAGGCACTGTCTCTCTCCCGGCACTGATAGCACTTCACGTTGCTTATCTTCAAGACTGGTGGGGCAAAAAGCAAAGGAAAGCAGACCGGTTGCTCAGTGTTCTGCACAGGGCAGGCAGGGACGACTATGGCAGCAGGATATGGATGTTTATGTGAAAGATCTGATTTCAGGGATGGGGAGGAGTTTGAAAAAAAGGGGGGGTTATTCAAGATTAAGCATGGAACTGCTTTCAGTGAGCTCCGCCCTGACATCAGGAATGTTCTCCTCACACACCCTCCTCCCAGACGTCCCTCATGGCCAGTTTGTAACAAGACCAATAACTCACTTCTTCATCTCAGAAGCTACTTGTTCAATTCTCTGGACTTCAGCACCAAAATGAGTTGTTCATTATTTATGGCAAACATAAAGAACAAAAGGACCATCACACTCTGTGGCCAGCTCAAGGACTGCCACTCGCATGTGGATGACAGCCAGACTTCTGGAAAGATGGAAGTAAATCAAATGCACGTAGATGCCCATTTAGAAACCGGTTTTTCTCAGTGCTTACTGAACATCTATTTTGATAAATCACTGCCTGTGGGTGCTGTGGGGGCTAACGGAAGCTTCAGAAAGCAAATTCAAACTGGAGCCTTGGCAGTTTGAAAATATTCAAGCCAAACAGCCAACCAAAGAAAACGAAGGCTGAGAAGGCATCCTGTTTTTCTGTAAACCTTTCTCACATTATAATGCCAGATTTTTATTAGTCAAAAAACTATGATAGCCCTGTTAACATCTAGCTAACATTGTGGGTGCTGGTGTCAGGCTGCAGGGCCCTCCTTTGTTACCATTTGGACATCAGAAAATTACCCTGAGGAGAAAGGGGGATCCACTCACCCATTAAACCCCTCAGTGCAATATATATCATCACTACGAGCTGTTTTCCATTTATTTCATGTTTAACTTTAGTTAATTTTATTTTAGGTGTAAGTAATAAATGCAAAAGGTGGAAAAGCAAGCACAACAAGATTTTCTTTGAACACCAAGCCAGAGAAACTCTTATGGCATAGAATGGTAACATGACGTAAAAATTCCACCCCTCACTTCAAAACACCATGTTATGGCTTGTACCTACGTGGCCCTCCAAAGACTCATGTGCTCAGAGGTGAGGCTTCTGTGAGTGACTGGCTCAAGGGTGTGTGATCCTGGATTAGTGTTCAAGGATTGGTTCAGCATAATTCTGCATATTGGATGGTGTGTTTCCTAAAGAGGGAACACCCACTATGTGAGTGGCACCAATCAGCAGGCTTATAGCCTGGACAGAATAAAAAAGGAAAGGACTAGGATGCTGTGCTGCTTCCTGCCTACCCTGCCATGGACTGTTTCTCCTTCCAATGTGTTGCCCTGCCTCGGAGCCAGCCGACTATAAACTGTGAACTAAAATAAACCTTTCTTCCTTTAACTTGTGTCTGACATTTTGTCCCAGCAACATGAAAGTAGCTAAGATACACCACCACCACCACCAAAAACTATTTTAAGCTCACAAGGTTTACCTTTCCTTTGAGATGAGTCATATGATCTGAGCTATGTCCTTCCCTAGCTTATTTTTGTTTTGTTTTATTTTATGTTTTTTGTTTTGTAACTAAATTATGGACTTTATTTGGACTTCACTTTTTTTAATCTTTTATAGTCTTAGGATCCTGTCCAGGCACCTGTAACATTTCCTTAGTCTCTTTTTCTTTTGTTATAGTTGATTTTCCCCACATATTTATTAAGTTTATATTGATTATACTGATCTACGGTTTCACTTAGGCAGATTCTCACAGGCATAGAACATACTCGAGTCATTTCCCCCACATCGCCCTTCTCCTCCCAGGATCCCTCTTAGTTTCACAATGCAGGGAGGAGGAGCTCTAATGCTATCAGGCTGCTCAGGGGCACCCAGAGAAAGGCACAAGATTCTCACGGGAGACAAAGAAGTTTCTTTAAAATTCTGCTGGAGCCCTCCCTTAACAATGGCAGCACTGAGACCGGGTCAGATCTGGAAATCTCTTCTGGAGTCTGAGGTCTAGAACCTGACACTATGGAAGTCATCTGCTATCATCCATAATGCAGAGTGCATCCACCAAGTTTGTATCTGCAAAAGCAAACACCCTTCCCTCACAAAACCAAACCCCAAATCCCTTAGTAATGGCAATTCTGGGACGGTGAAAACATTTTTATACCCTATTTTCTCTGCAGGTGATGCACCTGTTTTGTAAAAAATTAAAGACACCTCCCACCCCCGCAAAAAAAAAAAAAAAAAAAAAACACAGGCACAACTAGGGGGTAGGGTCCGGCCAAGGTTGAGAATCTGGGATCCCATCGCGCCCTGCATCAGTCAGCAGCTTGGCCAGGCTGGCGGGGAGACGCGGAAAGCTCCTGCCGCGGTTTCAGGGCATCTGTGCCAGGCTGGACGAGGCTCGGCGCGGCAGCATCGGCCTGGGACTCGCACCAGGACTCGGGCCTGGGGGTTTCTGCACTCCTAGACTCAGCCCACAGTCGGAATCTCCCATGCAAGCCGGCCCCGGGCACGGCGCCCTTTGCGCGCTCCTTAGGTGTCCAATCCTCCACCCCGGGGCGTGCTAGGGAGCTTGGTGGCGAGGTGGGGTAGAGCCGGACTCGATAGACCACGCCCCCTGATCGTCCCCTGGCGGCGGAGATTGATGGGGTGCAGGCACCGCCCCAACCAATGAGCGCGCGCTGGGGCGGGGCCTGGGGCCAACTGCTCCTGCTACTTAGAGTCGTCCGCGCTGGGCTGGGAGCCGAGCAGAGCCAAGCGGGACTGGCCAGGTGAAGCTGCACCCCGGCCCGGTGGACTGCAGCGCTCGGCATCGCCGCGGGTAGAATCGACTGCAACCCCTCGCGCCCCGGGACCACGTGCGCCGCCGCGTCTGCAGCTCGCATGGGGACCCGGAGACTTTAAAGGAGTTTGGGGTTCGGGAGCGGGGAAGTCACGGGTACGGAGGACCGGCTTTTTGGCCTCACGAACGTGAATCGCGCGCTGGAGAGGAGGGCGGAGGCTCGTGGCTAGAAGCGGAGCTCTCTCGGAGCCCCGGCACGGCCCGGCCTCGCTTCCACGCCGCTCTCGGTCTCTTTGTTCAGTTATTCTAGACCCAGCAGCCTCGCCCTGGCGCAGTCCCATTGGCTCTGCGGGGGACAGGGTTGGCAAAGTGAGGGGCAGAGAGCACCTGTCTGCGTGGGCGGGTGTGCCTGGGCGCTTGCGTGTACGTGCATCGGCGAGTGTGCGTGGGATTGTGCCTGAGGGTGTGTTTGTGAGGGGTACGTGTGGCAGTGCATTCTCGCGAAGGTTTGTCATTGTGGGTGTCTGTGCCAGCCTGTCCATGTTTGTATCCCAAGTGTGCAGAAAGGTTGTCGCCGGTGTGTCTGATTGTCACTGTGAGATCCAGCCGCTATCACGGGTGGGGTGCGACCTGTGCCAAGCCGGGCGGTGGGCTGCAGAGGGTGGGACTCAGGAATGTGAGCGCAGCTTGCTCCAGCTATCGGGCCTTAGGTGTCGTTTGTCCCTGCCAGCCTAACCCTGCGTGCTGCCACTGCCCACAGGGACTCCGCGCGGGCTTCCCCGCCCGCGTGTCCTCTGCTGGGAGTTGCACGGGATTCTCGGACAGGGTGGAAGGCTGTGTGGGGCGTCCTCTCTGGCACCACATCGGTGGCCGGCTCTGCGCCTCCTTCCTGATTCTAGAGAAGGCGCTGGGATCCTGGCTGACACCGGCGACTCCAGGGGGCGCATGGACCGGCGGGCGTGCCAGTCCTGGGGGCCCTGTGCGTCTTGGGGAGGGGTCACTCTAAGAGGGTCACCCTGACTCTAATGGGTCCGCTTCTCCTTTGCCAGATCCCCGTTCCTGGCCCTCGCCTCGCCGCGTCATTGATGGGCAACCAACTGGACCGCATCACCCACCTCAACTACAGTGAGCTGCCCACAGGGGACCCGTCAGGGATCGAGAAGGACGAGCTGAGGGTCGGGGTCGCCTACTTCTTCTCGGATGAGGAGGAGGACCTGGACGAACGCGGGCAGCCCGACAAGTTCGGCGTGAAGGCCACCGCCGGCTGCAGCCCCTGTCCAGAGAGCCCGGACCACCACCACCACCACCACCACCATTTGCTGCACCAGCTGGTGCTCAACGAGACTCAGTTCTCCGCCTTCCGGGGCCAGGAATGCATCTTCTCCAAAGTGAGCGGCGGCCCGCAGGGCGCAGACCTGAGCGTCTACGCGGTCTCCGCGCTGCCCGCGCTCTGTGCGCCCGGCGACCTCCTGGAGCTGCTCTGGCTGCAGCCAGCGCCGGAGCCGGCGGCGCCCGCCCCGCACTGGGCCGTCTACGTGGGCGGCGGCCACATTATCCACCTGCACCAGGGCGAGATCCGCCAGGACAGCTTGTACGAGGCGGGCGCGGCCAACGTGGGCCGCGTGGTGAATAGCTGGTACCGCTACCGCCCGCTGGTGGCCGAGCTGGTGGTGCAGAACGCGTGCGGCCACTTGGGTCTCAAGCGCGAGGAGATCTGCTGGACGAACTCGGAGAGCTTCGCCGCCTGGTGCCGCTTTGGCAAGCGTGAGTTCAAGGCCGGCGGGGAGGTGCAGGCAGGCACGCAGCCTCCGCAGCAGCAGTACTATCTCAAAGTGCACCTGGGCGAGAACAAGGTGCACACTGCTCGCTTCCACAGCCTAGAAGACCTCATCCGCGAGAAGCGCCGCATAGATGCCAGCGGCCGCCTGCGCGTGCTGCAGGAGTTCGCCGACTTCGTGCGCGACAAGGAGTAGCGGCCGGGGCCGCCCACCCCGCGCCCGGGACCTCTCCATCTCGTGGCCGCGGCGTCTGCGCCCCACCTCACGCGCGCCCTGAGCCGCCAGAGGTCAACGCTGGGGCTGCAGCCTAGCACCTGACTTCTTGAGGCAGGAGGACAGCAGACTGAGCCTGGGACGGGGGCGCAGCTGCGCGCTCGGGCTGGTGATGTAAGAGCGCAAGGGCAAAGGGGAGCGAGGAGGGGGTCAGGGCGAGACTTTCCCCGCGAGCCAATGGTCAGCGACCTTCATGCCCTGGGAAAACCCCCTTTCCTAACAAGGGGCCCGTCATCGCCCCGAAGTGTGCGCACACAAGCCAGGCCTGGGGATGGTGAGAATTGTCTCTGCAGGGCGCACCTCGGCTCTGGGGTAGATATATCCCCGGGTAGCAAGATTTCCAAGATATCCGGCCTGCCTGTCCTTGGTGCCCTTGTCAATAGTTCCACGAGGCCTCACGGAAGCACCCTGAGTGCCCCGTGGCTGTCTGGGACTCCTGGGCTCCGCTCTTCCAGCCCCAGGTCCCCTAACTTGTACTCCAGTCTCTGGGCGAAGCTAGGTAGATTTTGCTTCCTGTGTTTGCGACCAGGAAGCTCACATCACCCCCACCCGCGCTTGCCCTTGCGACTCCCAGTGGCAGAGGTCGTGGTCGCTGTCTGGGTTGCGCGAGGAAAATGCTCAACTGCTGGGAGAAGAGGGCAGCTCTGCCCTGGAAGCCCGGCTTCACCCAGTGTCTAAGAGCAGAACCCAGGGCTCCTTGTGCTGAACCCTTCCTTGATTGCCCTTCCTGGAGCCACATTTCAAAAATAGTCATACTTCCAACTGGGCTGAGGAGGGGGAGGGGAGGTGCGGTGACGTTCCAGGCACCAGCGTCAGGGCAGCAGCAGCAGCCCAGCAGCACGAGCCAGTCTGCTTAGTTTGGCTTTTCCTGAGGTAGAAACCTTAGCACACGGACGTGGCAATTCAGTTTCAAACATGAGAGCGGAGATTTCCAGCTATGTCAACAAAGCCTATCGTGTTGATGTTTTTATTGACCATTTTAGCAACATGCTAATAAAATTTCAAATTGAAATTTTTATTTTCATGGCTTTACTCCATGATAGTTTAAATACTGGGGGCCATTAAGAGTGGATGTAGCTAAGAGCTTAGCTAACATTGCCTTTTTCACTCTGTTTTTCTAAAATCTTGTGAGAATTCTGTTTTTTTGAATATCGTAATTTTTTTCTCTTTCTTTTTTTCTTTTTTTTTTTTTTTTTTTTTTTTTTTTTTTTTTTTTTTTTTTTTTTGCTTTAAATAGTAGCCCAAGTAATGGTGGAGTTATTGGTGCGTACATTGTACTGGATTTCTGTCAGGTAAAGGGTTTATTGATTTGGTGGAAGTTGCTGGCAGGTTTGATGTGGATTTTTCTCCATGTGGTACATGATTACCATTTCACATTTGCATTTCTATCCCCCCGCCCCCCATCTCCTTAAGAAAGGATCCACACTTCCTGGCTTTATCCACTCTTCTTTAGCCAGTCCTCAAATTCATTCCCTAAGACTGGGAAAAAACTTACAGGATCAGGACAGATACATGTTTTTCAAAAGACTTCAGGTTGTGTGGAACCCTTTCCATGGGAAGGAGGACAGACTTCTGGCACGCAGCCCAGCCTGACTGAGGCTGTGGGACTCCACATGTTACATACCTGATAGCATCTGTGTCTCTTTCCAGGGAACTTGTCAAACAGTGGTGTTTAGCTAATTGTTGCAAACAGTTGTATATTGACAGCTATGATTAGCTGGACAGCAAATTTTGTGGCCAAAGCTAATGTATTGGCATTTCAAAACTAATGCAATAAAAACTAGTCAAGGTTAGCTAAGACTGGAAATGCCTTCTCCATGATAAATGATTCATTTTTCATCTGCTTTTTATTTTTATTTCCTTTTAGTTTTCATCCTGGATTCCCTGATCTTGAATCAAAGGGTCAGATCAATTAAATATGAGGTAGAGTATTTTTCTTAAGCCTACTGAGTGATTTATTTTTTAAAAATGTTTAAATGCATATGTTTTTCTTTGAGCACATAAAGCAAACTTTTGTAATAACTGATTTACCTTTGCATGTATGCAGAACTGAAAATCATTTATTTCCTTAACTTATTCTTCTCTCCAATAACAGATGGCAAATCATAAAATGAAATTCTTTACTGTATCCACACACACCATGCTCTTCATTGTGTCTCCTGATGTATCTCGGCTCCCTGCTGTATTAAACATCATCCTAAGCACCTGTTCCCCCAGGACTCCTTCTTGACGTTTTTGTCTTCCACCTGTCTCTAAAAGTGGGACTTCAGCAACACAAAGGAATCAGTCTCTATCGTACCTAACACTGAGGTGCACTTCCTCTGCTATCACATAATCCGATTTCTCCTTTCCTAAGAGGGTCACTCTCATGGAGGAATGGCATTCAGCTTTCAGCTTGCTGAAACTAAATGAGAATTAGAAGTAAGAGTTGGGCAGTTAACATAGCATTAATTATTAGGTTAGTCTTTTAAGCCTTTGGTTGGAGGCAGTGATTCTTTAAATTCACAGTAGTAAGACATTGGTCACGTAAGGAACATTAATAAATTTAAGATTTTTCTCGTCATTCCTATTGAAATAATTATTGTCTCTTGATCAGTGTTAATAAAAATCACTGGCAGAATATAATAATAGTACATCATGGAGAACATCAGGATACTATCTAAAAGCTGTATTCTGAAAAAGGCATGTCCATAGGGTATTATTAAGATGTTATTTGTAGGCTCTCTGTAGGTTCATTTGATTTTATTCCAATGTGGGTGACTATCACATCTATAGATTGCACCAGAGCTACAGAAATTAAGATGCAGGCCTTTTAGCATTATAGTAAGGTCCAGGAATGTCACCTCGGTGCTGACTGTCTTTGGTAGGCCAAGCTGGAGACAGTTCTGTCCACCCTGTCCTGCCAAGAAGAAAGCTCTCATCATCTCCTGTCCCTTCTCAACTTTTGGGGGTGATTGTGAAAATCAAACCATTATGAAAAGAAAGTGCAACAAGGTAGATATTTCTGAGTGAAGGGGAAGAGAAAGAAGAAGGAGGAAGAGAAGGGTGAAGCAGCTGCTGGTACGCTTTAAACCATACTGTCCTAAAATGCCAGTATTCCCAAAATGTAGTCCTTCTCCCCTTAAAGGAATTCTGCAGAACTACACATGTTGCATTTATTTTTGTAAAAAACAAAAAAAAAAAGACCAAAAAGTAATATAGTAGTGATCCAAACTGATATGCATAAAATTTCTTCAATATTTAAAATGTTAAATCCCTATCATGACAGCATTTTATTATGAGTAATGTATATATAGAGAATAATATATGTGTTTGTGACAGGTACAACATCAAACACAGCAAATTTGTAAGTTCTGTGATATTACATGATCTCACTAGAAATTTTTTTGGCACTTTTCAGATTTTTCTTACCCTTTTGCCATGTTTCTTTGTTGAATGATTTTATTTGAATACCATTTTTTTTTCAGAAAGGCATCCTATTGATATTATCAAAGTCATGAATTACCTGAGTCACAAGTATACCCTAACAGTCTTTGAATTTCACTTGGTTGTATTTTTACCATCCCTGAGAGCTAAGAGTCTTAGTCATCTAATCAGGGGATGAAACAGGGTCAGTTTTCAGTGAAATTAATCATAAATTGCACAATCAGAACAGTCATCTAATTCTCTTTGTCCCCATGAATAATTCTGTTTTCTTTCCTGTGCTGCCCCAACTTGAACCAGGGCCATGTAAATGAAAAAAAAAACTACTTTTAAATAAATGAAGATAATGTTAGTTATCTAGTTCATGTTAGCTTCTCAGAGATACTTACCATATACACCAAAGTCTGCAGATTACAAAACACAGGCTTCCAGGATTCTTGCAGTAGGATGAGTTGCATTTAGAAAATGTTTAGATAAGGTCCATGTCTATTTCTCTCAAAAATTATTAGCTGTTATCAGGATACACATAAATACATCCATGGCCTCACACACACATGGAAATTTCTGCCAACAGCTATTAATTTTTATTTTACTCACACACAAACATGTAGACTTCCAAAAAGACAAAACGGGGAGTGACCTTGAGATTTATAAAGCAAGAGAGAAGATCTAGGACTCAGAATAGTAACAGGGAGCAAGACAGCAAGAAGCTGTTGGTTGGAAGCATAAACAAAAAGAAAGCGACACGGTTGGCTTTCGTCTCACTTAGAAAGTTCCTAGTTTCTCTAAAAAATTCAGAGGAAAGCTGGAAAGATTACAGAGTAACTGAAAAATAAGATGAAGCAGGCAGTTTATGCGATGATACAAGGAGCTTATTAAAGTTTTCTGAAAAGAGATCCCTGCTCTCCATTCTAACTGAAGACAGGAGGGAAAAATAAAAAGCTAAAACCCAGTTTTTGAACCCTTGAAGAACTTCTAAGATCCTCTGATTTCATAGCTCAAAGTTTACCTTTGAGGTTGTATATTGGGCTCATTTGAGCTTGCATTGTAAAAGGTTTAAGTATTTGAATACCCTGGGAAAATATCTTGTTCCTGGAGGTGATGTGAACGATTCTTGCTCTTGACAGTAGAAATCCCAGTAAATGCTTTCCCATGCTTTGGGCTTCTCCCAGTCTCGCTGTAGTAAATACACCATTATCCATAAATACCCAAAGGTGGCATCTCTCCAGTAAACGCAACTCTCACTGATTCTTGATTATCAGGAAACCCAGAAAGCTCACTAGTTGGTTTACAAGGATGAGGTGAAGTTTAACTGAAATGGCAGAAAGTCGACTCACGACAATCCATTTTATGACTTAAAGCTGATTGATTTCACTTGTATTTGAATGTTCAGTTTGTTCCTAAGGAAAAAAAAAAAAACTATCAAAGAATCCCGGCAATGTTCTCTTATTATTTGGTTGGAAAGGGGGGAAGAAAACTAATAATTCAGACTATAATTTTTCACAGCTTCATCTCTTATTCACCTCCAGGAGAGATTTTTTTTCCAAGCATGAAATCACAAGATTTCAGAAGGAAGCTTATTATTATAGCTCTTGAGAAAAATTTTCTTCGGTGTGTAGGGGAAGACTTATTAGATATGCACTTAACTTTCTGGGAAAAATGAGATTTGCTGCAATTTGATCATGGGTGTTATTCTAAATAAACATGACGCATTTTATAATAAATATTAAAATAATTGCCATGCCTGAGGGCTTTTATAGCCCAATTATTACTTAATGTGAACATGAGTTCTGAACTTAATTTTGTCCAAAGAATAGATGCTGATGAAATATAAGGTGTGAATAGAGCTGGTGCTTTAAATTTCTAGCACAAAATAAATATTTCTGAAGTTAATTTGGGCTTTATGCTATATACAGAAAAACCAAGAATGATCATAGAAGGCTTCTCCTTTTGTACTTTCTGAGGAACCTCTTGTCATCAATCTGTGATACAGGTATTAATGTCCCATTTGTGCAGTGGGAAACCAGAGAGGTATTTTTATTGTAAGTATTGGCTTGGTTTAGCCAATCCATTATTCTAAACCCCACCATTTCAGAGTCATGCACCACTATAGCTCTGTGCTCAGAGCCAAGTGCACTATTTTCAGATTTCAAATTCTCCTAGACGATGTACAGGTATGGGGAACAGATTGATGACAACTTTATACAAACTCTGAGCTCCCAAATAGCATAGAGTCTGCATCCCGCTCTCTGATTCCCCTGGAACTGTATGCTTCAGGGAAGGAGGGTCTAGAGCCAAGGCAAGCAAAACTCAGGAATGGGGTTGCCAGTGTAGCAAATAAAAATATAGGATTCTCAGTTCCATTACAAATTCAGATAGATGACGTTGTTTTAGGGTATGTCCTACACAATACAGAAAACACATTTATGCTAAAAATGATGTTTAGCTGAAATTCATCTGGAACTGCACATCTGGTGTGTCCTTCCAAAAGCGACCCGGTGGTCTCTAGGAACCCTAGTGTCCCCTGGAGCCGACAAATGAGGGACACCCACCCACCCACGCACCCACAGCTCTGAGCTTCTGTCGGGTCCTTCTCACACCTTTAAAGGGCCAAAATCTCATTGAGAAGCAGTAACAAGCACAGATCTTAGGAGAAACCCATGTTCACAGGCCGAGCATCAGCGAGAGAGCAAGCTGGCTATGTGTGGGTGCATAGATGGGGACAGGTGAATGGGAATCGGCACGTGACCCACAGGTCTTGAATCTCATGCTCTCTTGACTGTATTTCATGAGCTATTGCCTTCCCTCATCTGGAGTAAAATGCCTCCTCTCCTAGACACAATCAGAAATACGCCACACCACCAGTTTTCAGTCCCCTGCTACTTACCCCAGTAGAGATCCCCACTTTAAACCCGGCTGTCATCGGGATTTCTTCAGGCACTTCTGTCCTCAAAGTCCTCCCTCTGGACACTTACAGCCATAGTGATCACCCAAATGGATCGACACTCTGCAGTTTCCTCAACTCTCAGCTTATGTGCAGGCCTCACAAGACTGTCCTGTAGAACAAGTGGCTTTAATCTGTGCTTCCACGACTTTCTGCCTTGTCCCTTTACTCACTTGCCACTTCTGGCTTCAGGGTGCCAAGTCCTTATTCACCCATCCTTTATGCCAAGCTCCGTGCTACCCCCGGGACGATTGTAGGCATTTCTTTCCTGGTGTTGCCATTGCATGTTATTGGCAGCACACACACACCCCGGCCAAGTCTGCATCCCTATGTGACCATTCGGCCTGTATGCCTCTGCCAATCTGTCCTAGGAAGACTGTAGGACTTACTCGTGGTAGGTGGTGCTCAGCTGTGTAATGGATGGGACAAGAAATGAGAAAGAAAGAACTGATTCTCCATTGAACTCTGGGTGGTTGAAATGGCCTCAGTGTTTGTCTGTGATTCTCCCTAAGACGCATACAGTAGAAAATAGTTTCTGACTAAAACAATAAATCTGGAATGGGGCCAGGGATATAGCTCAGTGGTATAGCACCGGCCTGGCAAGCACAATCCTGAGTTTGATTCCCATTACCTCCTAAAAATACATGAATAAAATCAATTGGAATGATGCAGAATTGTACTATAAACTTTGGGAGCTTGGCCACACATAGTTTAAATGATTGCTCTGAGTGACTATGTATTTCTTCATGAATGAACTTCCTGAGTTTCATTACAGATGGAAATACAAATTTTTCTCCTCTTAGTAATTTAATTTCCACCTCGATGAGATAATTCTAA